CAGACAGAGAGAGATATAGAGACAGAAAGCAAGAAATCACCCCCCAGGGGGGATGGTCATGCCGCAATCCCTTCTCCTCCATTCTCCTCTTGGGATCTTGGGCACGCACACACACGCGCCCGGCGTGAATTTTAAGCCACCGGGTCCGGGACGTGAACCACGGTCGACTATGTGGGAGTCCAGCGACATAGCCATTACGCTAACTGCTGGTTCCCAGTTTATTTATTTTTCCACAAGGAAGAGAGAGACAGAGACAAGTACCCTCATCAGTGTCTTCACATGGAACTCCATCCCAGTCTCCATCGTAGCTGGCCCAGACACACCTGCACACACATGCTCGGGGAGGTCCCTGGATGTGGTCCCGGGACACGAACCCAGGACTTCTCCCATGTGGGTTCAGCTGGTTACCGCCTGGCCCTATCTTTTTCATATGACCATCTTGGGCCTGCAGGCCTGCAATCTAAAATCCTGTTAAAAGGCCTCGGGGGAGGGTGACGGGTGGCATGGGGTTTCAGGCAGTTGGATTCCACATGGTTTGAGACCTAGACTTGGGGGCTTGAAAAATATGCCAGGCATACATGTGCATGACCCAATATTTCCAAAGGGGAAATGGAGGGGGGGACTAGAGCGGGACCACCCCCGGTGGGGGAATGCTCTTTCTCACCTCCACCCGCCGTCTCTCCCTGCCAGTGCATGCACCTGCTAGCAAAAAAACACAAACCAAACCAAACCAGAGGCACTGGGACTCCAGCCAGAGACAAAAGCAAGGACCTAAGTAGGACTCTGTGCCAACCCGACGGCCGGGGCCCTGTCAGAACGCCATGCCCTGGCCTGTCTAGGACCATTTCTACTCTCTGTCCTCTCTCTCCAGTCCTCTAGCTGTAAGAGACCTCTCCCAGGTTTGTATAAATTCAAGGCTCAAGAAGCTAACTGCTCATTGGGGCCTCCCCCTGCACATCGAACAGGCAGTTAGAACTTGACGTGCTTTGAATTCTTTCAGCTCTAAACCAAGCCTTCTCCAGGTTGTCTCTGAGCAAATTCAAGTCATCCTCAAGGTCTCACCCTCCACAGCCATTCCATGTAAGTCCCTGTAGATCTGCCTTCGGAAGTATCCGGATCCATCCGTCCGTCTCCACCGCTACGGCTATGCTCCTGGCCCCAGCTACTTCCTCTCCCTGGACCTCTGTGCATCCACTTTTGCTCCTCTACCATTTATACGCTGCACACAAGAGCCAGAGGGTCTTTAAAAACTGGGTATTAGGGTCCAGCGAGTGGCATGGTAAAGGCACTGGACTCTCATATAGCCAACCGCCATTGAAGCCCCAGACCTGGTGGCTTGAAAATCACGCTGGGCACCTGTGCGTGCGTGCCCAAACCTGAAGAGAAGGGATTGTTGTGTGGCCATCCCCCCTGGGGAGGTGATTTCTCACTTTTCCTGTCACTTTCTCTCTCTCTGGCAAGCACACACACCCTATGGTAAAAAACAAACAAAAAAGTACATCAAAGCATGTCTCTGGCTTGCTTCCTGTCCCATTCAGAATAAAATTCACTATCCTCACCAAGGTCAACCAGGCCACTTAGTACCTGGCCACCACCTCTCACCTGTCTGAGAGAAGACTGTCCTCCACTGTCCTCCCTGGCCACTCAAACCAGCTCCTGTCTCAGGGCCTCGAGCCCTTGCTGTCTACTAGCCTAAAACACTCCTCCCAGATCACATGGCTTGCTTCTTCTTGCCATGTTCAGGTCTCAGCCTAAGTGTTTCTTCCTCAGAGAGGCCTCTCTGACAAATGGAGATAAAAATCAAGGTCTTGGGGGACCAGCAGGTGGCGTGGTGGTTAAAGCATTGGACGCTCCCACATGGTTGACCGTGGTTTGAGTCTCAAACCCAGTGGCTTGCTTTCTCACTTTCTCTGTCTCTCTCTGGTCAAATTAAAATAAATAAATTAATTAAATTAAGTTTTAAAAATTTGAGATCTTGGGAACCAGCAGTTGGCATAATGGCTATGTCGCTGGACTCCCACGTAGTCGACCGCGGTTCGCATCCCGGACCCGATGGCTTAGAAATCATGCCGGGCACGTGTGCGTGTGTGCCCAAGATCTCGAGAGGAGAATGGAGGAGAAGGGATGGCAGTGTGACCATCCCCCCTGGGGGGGTGATTTCTTGCTTTCTGTCTCTAATGTCTCTCTCTGTCTGTCTGGCGAGCACACGTGCCCTATCGTGAAAACCTCTCAAAAAAAAAAAAATTGAGGTCTTGTCATTCCACATTTTTACTCTCCGCTTTAGTCAGCCTTGATCACGTATCTGTGCGTGTGTGTGTGCACATACACATGCACAAGTAGTTTTGTTTGGGGGGTTTTGACAAGGTCTTGCTGTATTGCAACCCTCCTGCCTCAGTCTCCTGAGTACCTGGACCATAGGGGCTTGTCACTGAGCTCAGCTTTTTAGGTTGGGCTGGGAATCAAACCTGGGCCTCCCATAATGGCCTCAGCCTGCCGAGGAGCAGCATCTGGCACGGCATGCTACCACAGCAAGGCCTGGATCACACATTTGCAACAAAAAAGTTGCCTGTTTATTTAAACGTTCACTTTTCTAATAGCTCTCTTCCAACCAGAATTGAAGCAAGCACCATGACAACATGGTTCCTGTTTGGTTCACTTCTGTATCCCCTGTGCATGGAACAGCCCCTGGCAGAAGCGCTGAATGAATGAGACTCACTCTGAGCAACCAAACACAAGGGCTTGGACCACTGGAACTTTGGAAACTAAACCAACTCTTGATCATTTAAAATGGGGTTTTCTTAAACAGTGGGGTTGAGAGGTTTCCATCTGGAAGGCATACTCTAGCCTGCTGAAAGAAGATTCTCCAACCTTACCATGAAAAAGCAGTGGCCACAACAGGTAGGGGAGATCACGGCCTAGCTGGGATGTTGTCACTGTCTTCAGCTGGGCCAGCTGGTGGCATGGTGGTTAAGGCTGCTGGATCCCACATGGCCATGCACACGAATCAAGTCCAGGACTGGTGCCTTAGAAAATAGCCAGGCAAGTGTGTGTGTGTGCCCAAAACCACAAAAGGAAGATTTGAGTGTGGCCACCCCCTCTCCCCCCAAGGGGAGGCTTTCTCACTTTCTCCATCTCCACTGAGAGTGTGTACACTAAGGCAAAAATTTTTAGAAGAATTATTCATTTGGGACCAGCAACTAGCATAATGCCTGTTGCTGGACTCCCATGTAGTTGACCGTGGTTCAAGTCCCAGACCAGGTGGCTTAAACTCATGCTGGGCGCATGTGCGTGCTTGCCCCAGATCCCGAGAGGAAAAGGGACTGCAGCGTGGACATCCCCCAGGGGGTGATTTCTTGCTTTCTGTCTCTGTCTTTCTGGCGAGGGCATGTGCCTTATAGCAAAAAAACCTCTCCAAAAAAAAAAAAAAGAAGATTCATTTCTTTAATTCCATCTGTTATTATTCTTCAATTTGACCAGAGAGAGACAGAGAGAGAGAGAGAGAAGGGGAAAGGGAGAAAGTAAGCTGCCAGGTCTGGGACTTGAACCATAGTTGGCCATGTGGGAATCCAGTGCCTTTAACCCCCATGCCACCTGCCGGTCCTCACTATGGCAAAATTTTTTAAATTAAAAAAGATTATTATTATCAGGTACTTTGGTGAACTGATGGTTTACTTTTTTATGACCTGACTCTAAAAAACTTCACTCTGCTCAAATCAGGCCTTACCTACAAGAAAAACAGTAAGATCTAAACTTTACTCAATTTTTCATAAAAATCTCATAAAAGCCCTCTGCAAAAACTGTTATTGCTTTTCTTGAATAGAGGCCCAGAGATTAGGTGACTAGTCTAAGGTCACACAGATAGTAAGTGGTTGAGCCCAAATTTTAACCACTCCACTACCACTCTGCCGACCTTGGAGGGTCATCTCAGGGTGGACAATGTGCACCCTAGTGCACGCTGTAGACCAAGCACTGGCCAAGCCTCACCTGGGCTAAAGAGCTGAGCCCAGAGGAGCTGGTGGTCCTGAAGCAGCTCGGTGGCAGGCATCTCCAGGAGCTCCAGCATTTCCTTCCGTGCCAAGTCCTGGAGTGCCTTGAGTTCCTTGGCTGCTTTGCTTTTGAGAGCCTGAGGATTAATGGGGCCGGAGACATGCACCACCCACAGCACTGTCTCGTCCAGTTGCGTCTTGGGAGCCACCTGGAGCCGGTTCACTAGCTTCTTGGCGGCCACTACCACCAGGTGCACCAGGCCGGTGGCCAAAGGCGGAGACCGGCCAGAGTAGAGGAGGAATTGGTGGTCTCCGACCTTCTCCAAGGTACTGGTGAAGGCCTTGGGGATCGGGCCGGCAGTGGGTCCCACAGTCTGCAGCGCGGCCACACGCTCCGTTGGGTTGTTGAGCTGGATGCGCTGCAGATAGACGTGGGGTCGGCCCCGGTGCGCCAGAAAGTCCTCTTGC